TGTTATACAAGGGTGCCTCCTGCCAGTTATCTTGTATATGCATGCTTTTAGTTTGCTTGCTAAATATATAAAGGAGTTCAGTGTAGTAGAACCACTTTGATCTTTATAAAAACTATTATTTATATAGTAGCCTTTTCTACTTTTTCTAATAAGTTTTCTGTTTTTGTTAATATAAAATTTGGTACAAGTGATCATTAGGACTTATTCTCTTTTTAATTACCTATTTTATTTTTTTTATTATAAGCTTTTATTCATTTATTTGAAGGTCTACCTTTACCTTAGTTTTTTACTGAATCTTTTACATTATCTGCATTATATATATAACTATTAGATAATTCAATTTTATAATTTAAATTTGTATTTTCTTTTAAGATTTCTTGTCTTGATTGCATATCTATTTTTTGCTTTGTTATTTTTTCTGAAATATAAGTTAAAATAAGATCATTCAATGTTTTTTGGTTATTATTTTTTAGTAAATAGTTTAATGCTTTTTTGAACTATCCTATAAACTAACTATAATACATTTTTTTATATATATGTTGATAAATTTGACTTTTTTGAACATTATTATAGTAGTTAAGAATGGAATGAATGTTCTGTAAAATACCAGTTTGTAATTTTTAAAACCTTTAAATAATACTCCAACAAAAGGCTTACTAGAAGCCAAATCAACTTTATTCTAAACATTATCCTAAAACTATCATGTTGGTATTATTTTTATGTAAAACAATGCATTTGAATTTTTTATTATTAGTTTAAAGTAATATTGACAAATAATTCTATATAAAACTAACAATAAGCATGTATATAAATGCATTTCATCTTTAGGAAGAACAATATGCTAGTATAAACTTGTTGTTATATAAAAACAATTTTTTACATTTTACAAATTAATTCTTTTAAAACTAAATTCATTAATATCTTTAAATATGTCTGTTAATAGTCATAATAGTCTTTAATTTTTATAATACTTTTATTTTCTTGATTATCTGCAAATAGTATCTTATCCTAAAATTCATATAATATAGGGGGCTGGTATTCATACCCCACTTTTGGTATTCATACTCCTCATCGTAAAAATTTCCGACAATCACTTGATCACGTGATCTACCTTGCACGCAATTGGTTAAACATATACAATGTAACTAATATACCAGATTGCACTCAGAAAATGTATACCGGGTTTGCTCTTAAACTTTAAGATTTGATGTAATGTGACATGATCAAAAGATTCGTTTGCTCTGCCAAAAATTGCTCTTAACTCAAAAATATGTATAAGAAATGACAACTTTTATGCTCTAATAAAAAGTTTTTATTGGATAATTTTACCATTACAACTACCTCTTCGAATTTTTAACCCTGACCCTAACTCTAATGAATTTTAAGATTTTATTTGCGCTATAAACCCAGTACACATTTTTTGATTGCTACCAGATTGTAATATTCCACGTAATGTACTAAGACTTATACATCAATAGCCTTAAGGTTTTTAAGTAAATACTACATATTGTAGGTATGTACGTACCAGATACTATTTGATGCTAATTATACTTAATGTTCCAATTCAAATACATTTGACAATTATCTATTAGATGTGGCTTAATGCTGCATATATGTGTTCAAATTACCATGAATTTATATCTAATTTGACAAGTGGCACAAAAATATGATGTATTTGGTATTGAATACTATGTTAATTTACTTTTGACATGCTAAGTAATTATGAATTTATACCTAATTCGATAAGTGGCACAAAAATACAATATATTAGGGTATTGAACTTAGTTAAATGCTACGTTAGTTTACTTTCGACATGCTAAGTAATTATAAATTAATGCTTGGTTAAACAGACAATATGTGGATTAAAATATGAAATATTACACATCTTAATTAAATAAATTCACATTAAACTGGCATTCACTGCCTTCATGTATTAATTGTTACGAATCATAAACTATAAATTCAAAAAGATAAAAAATGGACCCCCAAAATTTTGTATTTTTCAATGGCTTACAAAAATTTTATTTTAATTTGATTTCATTCAATCTGCCATATTTTATTACCATTGATCGTGGCATTCGTATTACAAATTTTGTGGCCATTCTATAAAGTTAATCAGAACCATTCTACTATAACTAATATTTTAGCTATCAGATTATAATTAAACAAAGTTACAAACATACAGCCAGCTCATTTAATGCTAAATTAAATTTTTAAAGAATTAAATTTGGCATTTAATGTTTGGTATATAGTTAACTGTAATATAAAAAGATTAATAATTTTAATGTAAAAATATAACAGGTCTTAAAAATATATAAACCTCAGAAATCCACATTAGAAGTTTGTTCTTAAGAAATAATTTGACATATTCTCTTTGAATATTAATCAGAATCCCTGTTCATATCGTTTTCTAAATAAATATTAATAAAGTTAGAACACATTTTAATTAACAAGCTAACAGAAAAAAAGTACTAATCTGTAAAGCTTGTAAAAAAAAACCGCCTTGTAAGAAAAATCTTTAGATAGTCTTAGTTATAACTTTTTTACAGTTACAATAAATTTTCAAGTCAATAATTATTTCTCTTGGAAAAGTAAACTATGCTTCCACCACCTTTAGCAACATACAACAGTGCCAATGAACTTTTTCAGAATGCCCAAACATTCGCAAACTCACAGGGTTATGCATTAGTAAAAAAAAAGAACTTGTAAAAATAAACATGGTAAATTAAAAAACATGGAATTATGTTGTGACTGGGGTGGTATGTACAATAACCCAAACTTAACTGAAGCTACACGTAGTAGACAAAGAAGCACCAGGTTAATTGATTGTCCCTTTGAATTGTACACGGCTCGACATGATGGTTTATGGCATCTGGAAGTTCGCAATCCAGAGCATAATCATGAACCTTCAAGCAATATGTCAGGACATCCAATTGCCAGAAGACTCACAGATTAGCAGTTAGAAAGTGTTGCAGTGATAACTACCGCTGGTTCACATTCTCGGGAAATTATTTCAACCCTTCAACAAAATAATGAATCAACGCTAGTCATTAATAGTAATATCTACAATGCATGAAAATGACTTCAGCAACAAAATTTGGTAGGGCGTACACCACTTCAGGCTCTTGTAGATAAGCTTCAGGAAGGCAACTTTCTATTTGATTATGAATGCAATAACACTGGAGCTGTTACTTATTTGTTTTTTGCATATAAAGAATCCATTACTCTTACCTGACAATATCCATCCGTGCTTTTTATGGATTGTACCTACAAAACCAATAAGTTCAAAATGCCCTTATTGAATGTTGTTAGTATAACCAGTCTCAATACCACCTTTTTCTCTTGCTTTTGCTTTATGAAAAATGAAAGTGAAAATGATTACAAGTGGGCTTTAACACGGGTTGCTCGATTGTTTAATGAAGGACCAAGGCCCAGAGTTATTGTAACAGACAGGAAGTTGGCTCTTATGAATGCTCTTGAAACATTTTTCTCCGATTCAGTAAATTTGCTTTATGTGTGGCACATAAGCAAAAATATTTTAAAAAATTGCAGGTCGCAATTTCCAAAAGACACAAACAATGAAGACAATGAGTGGAATGACTTTCTCAGAAGATGGAATGATATTATTAGTTTGGAAACTGAAGACGAACTCAATACAAAATAGGAAAATTTTTGCTCTACTTACAATAATAAAGCTGATGTTATATCCTATCTTGAAGAAACTTGGATGCCATGGAAAAAGTGGTTTGTAAAAACTTGGACTAATGAAATTCTTCACCTAGGAATAACAGTGACTTCTCGTATTGAAGGCTCACATGCAGTTCTTAAAGCATACTTACAAACATCAGCAAGAGACCTTCATTGGGTTTGCATGACAATTACTCTAGCTGTAACTAACCAAAAAAAAGAAATTGATTCAATAATTGAGTCAGAGCATATTCATATTCCAATTTTTGCATGCAACAATTCTTTATATGCAAATCTTAGAGGCAAAGTCTCAGCTTTTGCCTTCAAAAAAATAAATAAGCAGTATCAGCGAATTACTTTGCAAAAACAACTGCCACCATGTACCAGGTCTTTTTCAAGAACAATAAGTTTGCCTTGTGCTCATTACATCCAAAATTTAGATGCTAATCAGAGTATACCACTCGAAAATATTTATAAACACTGGTGGATTCAAGAGTGCCCACCGATACCACAAATTAGAAAAAACATTTTACATCATGAAGATCTACTAGAGCCTCTTTTGCAAAACCTAGAGGAAAGATACCAAGAATGGTCTGAACATCAACGAGTGGCTGCTAGAGAAACATTAAATAATATGATTGATTCCCCAATAATGGCTTTGCGAGACCCTCAAGTAGTTCGCACTAAAGGACATCCTTCTGATGCTTCAAATCACCGACCAACCAACACTACAAAAAGAGATCCTTTTGGATTTGAATTTGTTGACCATAAAACAAGACAATGTTCTCTTTGTAAACAGCCCAGGCACAATGCACATACTTGTCTAAATAGGAGTAGTACAAATTAAAATATTTAGCTATAGTTCATTTTACTTGAACAATTAAATCATACATAGCTTTAAAATAAAATTTGAATTTCTATATAAATAGAGTAGTAAGAAATAAAATGTTAGTCATCTATTTCATATTTGAATAATGAATAACTAATCAGTCGTAGCATTCAAAAATAAATTCAATCCTAGATCTTTTTCCCATATTAAAAGTAAATCCAAACATTTTCATCTTTAACTAGTCTTTAAATCTTATAGGTTCTATACAAATAGATTAGATAAAGTGTCAGTCATTCATTTATATTTGAGTAATAAATTTTCTGATCAGTCATTGCATTCAAAAATAAATTCAAGCTCAACTTATATCCACATTAAAAGTAAATTCTATTATTTTTGCCCTTAGCCAGTCATTAAATCTTTAATGTATATTCAAGTTTCTATATAAATAAAGCAGTAAAGAATAAAATATTAGTCCTTTGTATTATATTTAAGTAATCAGTCATAGCATTCAAAGTCTCGAAACTTTTGCCATATTAAAAGTGAATCTAGTCGATTTTTTTCTTTAGCTTGTTAGATCTTAATCAGAAAGTGTATATTTTAATGGTCTATATAAACTTTCAAATCTTTGATCTTGGGATTTTAGACTAATAACTCTAACTTTCATTCTTAGGTATATACTGGATATTGTATAATTATTATCAACCAATCATGTGCAAGATAGATCACGTGATCAAGTGATCATCGGAAATTTTCATGATAGGGCATACGAATACCAAAAGTGAGGAGTACAAATACTAGCTCCCATAATATATACTAGTTAATATATCACTAATAATTAAATTTAACTATATTAAATATAAATTTTAATACTAAATACTAAACTAAACAATAAACTAATATCAAACTAACTCTAACTCTAATCCTAAAACTAGCCTAACTCTAATTATAAACTAACTCTAACTTTAATTTTAATATAAAAAATAATTTGAATTTACAATAGATAAAGAAAATTATAATTACCTTACTAATTGATCTTTAATAAATTTAAAAGCTTTTTTATTAGATATTTTTTTCACCTTTATATAGTACAGATTTACATATTTGTGTGTAGATTGCTTTAATAATTCATAGTAAAAAATATTTTTTAATTGTTATTTATATTACTAAAAAAGTTTTCTACAATGAATAGTTGTTAATGTGTTATTAATTTGTATTTTCATATTATAAAACTCTTATTTATAGCTTTTTGTTGCATTTAAGAGTCTAACACTTCAACTACATTAGCTATAAAAGAACTAGCAGAAACAGCTTTGTGAATAAGTACATTTATTAATTCAACACATTGTGTTAATTGCATACCAACTGTAAATATTTAGCTTGTAAAAACACACATCTATAAATAGCATATTGTATAAATTAAATTATGCAAATATTTATTAGCATTAGGATATATATCTAATAAAGTTTGAAACCTTTGTTCAAAAACATTAATATATAATAAATTGCATATTGTCTAAAGTTATTAATAAATGCTTTGTAATTAACAGAACCAAGTTTATTTTTAAGTTATTTGGGTAGGTTTTAAGATAAATATCAAATACAATATATATGATAGATATTTACATATATATTTTGACAAGCTGTATCCATAGCAGAATTCATGTCTGTTAAAATAACTTGTGGCTTATAGCTAGTTGCATCTAATGTCTGTTGTAAAATCTACTTATAACTGCCTTGTGTTTCATTATTTATAAAGGCCTTATGCTTCTAATTATGACTTTCTATCATTATCAACAAGTATGAACAATGATAAAGAATAATTATATTTGTTAGTTTTTAAGGTGTTATTATATAAAATAACATTTGAGTAATGAGTTCACAACATAATTTGTTCTTCTGTTATCCAAAATATACTATATAATCTATTACTATCTATATTAATAAGAGGTTGTATAAACATTATAGGCTTTTTTTTGTTTTTCAAGAAGGTACTTTAATAGTTTAAAGGCATCTAAGCCAGCAATATTTCTTTTATGTTTTATTTTTCATATAGCATTTGAAAGATCTTGAGTAAGAAACAGTTGATCAAAAAATAATAGTTGTATTAAGTTTCTTATAATGTATGCATTACAACATTTATAAGCTATAGCATATTCAATTTCTGATATTACAGTTTGATCAAATTTTCAGTATGCTGTAGCAAACTTTAAATTATTAGTGATTAATTTATGATTATAATCAAGATTTACAAAAGTCACATATATGCCATCTTTATCTTTAGGTTTGTTTAAAATAACATGCTATTGGCAATCAGTTTTCTTTAAACCTTTATTGCATTGTTGATCTGTTAATTTTATTTTATTAAGCTTATATTTTCTGCTTTTTTATATTCCTTAAACTATATTCCAGGCAAATTTGCCTGAAAAATTAAATTGTATTTAGTATTTTTTAAATAAAACAATAATTTATTAATGATAT